CAAACGCGATGATAGTATGCCGAAAAATCCAGACAATATAGCACCGGGGAGCACTCAGCCAGCCCTCAGCGCAAGATCGACAAGCCGATAAAAGCAGCCCATCTTCACCTCTCCACCGGAACAACCTCAGACCCCTCGGGCACCGGCAGCCTCCTCCCCATGAAACTCTCCCACCTCTCCGGCTCCTCCGCCCTCGTCCGCTCCCGCGCCCTGCGATGCCTCACCAACTTCTCCGCCGTCTGCGCCAGCATAACCTTCGGCGCCGCATACTCCTTATCCACCTTCTCCCTCGTCAAATAATCATCCGTCACCTTCTCCATCCAACTCAGCGTCTTCCCGCCAGGCACAACCTCCATCTTCTTCGTCCTCGCATCATACCGCGGGCCCTTTTCCCAATTATCCAGCTTCATATTCTCCAGCCCCGTCGTAACGTTGAGCCGCTTATACCAATGATGCTCGCCCTTCGCAATCGTGCGCATCATCTTATGCCGCTCCTCGCCCTCCGTGTACTTAATCAGCACGTTCTTGAACACGGCGAACTTCTCCGCCCACTTCTTCGTGAACTTGCGCATCCCAAACGGGCCCGGCCACGCGGACGCGAAGCCGTCCTGCGTATGGTCTGGGCGGCCGGTGCCCACGCTGAGTAGTAGCCCCGGCATCTGGTCCTCGCCGCGGAGGGAGGCGTGCTCCGAGTAGGCGGCGTAGGAGGGGTTGTTTTCGCGGATGCCGCCGTCTTTGAAGCCGATTTTGCGGCCGTGGAGCTCCGCTTCGAGCATTTTGAAGAAGAAAGGCGCGGCGGAGGTCGCGCGGGTTACTTGCCAGATTTTGAGGTGGTCGGCGCCTTCGTTGTAGGGTGTTACCCATTCTGGGGTGGAGTCGGAGTATTGGTGGTCGTAGGTGCGCAGGAGGTAGGCTTCGTCGATTTGGCCGCTGTGGGTGGCGGTGAGGCAGATTCTGGGGGATGTGTTAGCATTTGTGGGACGTAGAGGGCTGCAAATGGTGATGGTGGCAAAAGTTCTCCAAAAGTGTGTGGGGAGTACAGTACTAGGCCATAGGTCTGGGCACACGGATTCATCGCTGCTCGGCTTCAGTCTTGCGCACTTGATACTACTGAGAAGAGTAGTCCTGCAAGTCAGTAGCCAGTGAGTCAGGAAGCAGTGTGATTTGCACTGCTTGAAACTTGACATCGCGCCTAGACTTTCGAAAACCGTAGGGGTACCCCGAGCAGTAGTAAACGGGTGGCCTCAGACTTTTGGCCGGTTTCTGAAATGAAGGGGGCTCGTGAAGACATGATCTGGAAATGACTTACGTTTGACATATTCGTTTTGAGTCTGTTTGTGGAACCATGTCTTCATCTTCTTGTTCTTCATGTTCTTCTTCTTCTGAAAGTGTTTCTTCTTCTGGAAGCGACGAGGAACTCTCGGACTGCTCATTGTCGCTCCACGGATGCCAATCCTCTCCGTCGCATTTGTCGTGGTGTTTGCAGTTCTTCCGGACGATTCGCCTAACAGCTTTCTCTAAAGGTTTGTGGTGGTATTTAGTCGCAAGAGGCAGCACGTTGCGCCGGTGACCAAACAGGTCATTGCCAACCTCGCGGTATATGTCCAGGCACTCTGGAATAGTCATACGAAGTCTCCCTAGTAAGACTGATATAAGGCCGCCAGTGCTGGTGCCGTACATAAAGTCGAAGTAGTGGCATAGCAGGAGGGTGTTTTCATCAAAAGTTTGCTGCTCTCCTTCCACGACAGGGCCTTCTTCTTTCTGGAGGCGCGCTTCGCATGCGACGATTTCATGGACGAGGAACTTGAGGATGAGGAGACTGGAGTAGCCCCGAATGCCACCGCCATCTAGGGAGTAATGTTAGTAATCGTTCAATATGATGGTTGAAGTACCAGAGACATGCAAAGTGCATGGATACGCCGATGGCGCAAAGCGCAAACAGCTCCAGGATACCCATCAAGCTTCACATGCGCTGGCACCTTTGGGGGCTTCCAACGTACCTAGCGTCAAGATCAAATCGTCCCACGCATTGTACTGGTTCACTTCTTGGGTCCAGGCAACGCCCGAGTGGTCGGCCTGCGATGCGGTGGTCATGACGCTCAAGGGGCGCGGCGAGTCTGTCGGTGGTTGAAGCATGGCGGCGGCTATAGCAGTCTGTATATGAGAAAGCTGCGGTGGGTCTGTGTCCACTTGGTGGGTAATGCAAAACGAGCGGATGCCCCAGGGAGATGAGGCCCGCACTTAAGGCAGTCAGGGTGTGTTAATGAGGCTCATGTGCAGGGCAGGTAAAGGCCCGCTGAGGGTGGGTGCGCGGTGTGGCTGGGTCGCTTCGACTCATGGGGTCAAGTGCTCTCACAGCTAGGAGGGCTAGTTAGGGATCTGCCAGGGCTGTGAGACGCATCCGCGCACCGCAGTAGAGCAGGACACCCTCTTCGTGCAGCTGCTGCACCTCGGAGGGCTGAAGGAGCTGTGCGCGCGCTTCAGTTTGCCCTGCGGACGTATTGTTGCAGCCATGGTTCAGGCGGTCGTCGTCTAATCCAGGGGCTGTCCTTCACCCTCCGCCCGGGTCTGTGTAACCACGGCTCGGGGCGAGCTGATGAAGTCATCCCGCCCTAAATCTGGGGAATCGTGGTTTAAGCATCGCCGGCCCGCTCGATTCTATCACGATGCACCAGACTTCAAAGGACCCTGAGAGATCACGACCCTGCTACCCAGATCAGGCTGTCGACGGTCGCCAGGTACAGCCCAGCGTACCTTGGCTGAGAGTGCCTTGTAGCCTGCGTGCTTCCTGTGGACTGCACGACTCCCAGCAATAGCGGCTGTTTGACTGACAAAGGCCGAGCAAGCAGCGGCTAGGGGCCAGATCACGCCTCTCTCCGCGTCGCCCTGTGACGGAGGGCGGTCGGATCGGCTGGTTGGCTGAGCAAACAGGAGGCAGATGGCTGCAAGACTCAGCGCGAGACCGGGCCACGGGGGGTTGCTTCCATTACGTGACTGCGGTGCGACAAGAGTTGCCCTGTCCGACGTCCTCGAGTACTCTATGATGCTATTCCCGAGCAGTGGAGATCGGACTCACGACCTTAACGCGGTGAGAGCATCTTGGGGACCTCCTGACGACGACAAGCAGCCAGCATCGGTGTCTGGCTAACTACCACAAACCACACACTGGCGTATCGGCGTCTGCAGCCTGCATGAAACGTGACAAAGAGTGGCAGAAACAGCTGGATTTTGATTGGAAACGACTGCAGAACTTAACCAACAGGATGCAGTCTCGTGCCACCTCCTGGCAGCACAGCCCCACGCAACTTTCCAGCTCTTTCTTTTCTCTGGAACCGCTCGTGCTGTGGTTCCAAAAGGGGGGCCTGAAATAGCTGCAGCATCTGGGAAAACTGGGATATCGGGAACAGACAGCGCGGAGGAGCAGTGTGCCTCTGTCAGCTCCCGAATATCAAAAGTTTGCAATAGTGAAGCCGAACGGGGAACGTCTACCGGCAGCACCAAGCCCGGAAGCAGCCGAGCCCTGTGGCGCCACAGTAACCCCAGCTTTTGGTGCAGTCAGGTTGGCAAACGAGCCACACTGCATCATCTGCATAGCGTGGGCCCTGCCGCTCAGGCAAGACTTCATCATCCTGCGTCTCTCCACCGCCGCTTCACCTGCCCTCAAGAACACCCTCCACAGTCACCGGGAACTGCTAACCCAGCCCCCTTCTTTCTACATAACACCTACGCCGACTGAAATTCCATTGCCACCGGCCAACCGCTCACCGAACTTCCACACGGTCCAGCGCGCCCTGTCCTACTCCCACTTAGCAGAATCCGCCCTCCGCATTGCGACCATGAGTTGGGCAAGCAAATCCTCCGCCGGCACCAACTCGTCCAAGTCGTCCCTCAGCAGCCAGAAGTTCGGCCTCAACGAAGACGACAAGAGTCCTATCCTCGTGTACCGCTACCGCTCCGGCAGCAAGAGCCTTGAAGTGTCGTCACAGCAGGACCTCTGCAAGAATCTCGATGCAGGTGAGTTTTCGACAGCCTTGTGTTTATGCCTAGCTGTGTCTTTCATCGCTAACAGGAGGCCGCTCGTACACAGACCCCAATTTGCAGAGCATACGCGTCGCCCGCAAGAAGATCCCACGAGGCAACAGCCGCGTCGAAGTGCGTGGCGAAGACCTATTCCCCGAGCAGGACCGCAAACGCTTCTCCGATCGACCCACGGTGAAGAGTTGTCTGGCGAATGTCGGATTGCCCTCGAGCGCATACTGGAAGAACCTGCTCTTCAACTCGTTCCCCGAACTCTACATCATATCGAAGTCGCCCTCGACGACGCCCAATAGCTCGGCGGACAATTCTCCAGAGGCGTCGCAGCATGTAACGCCCAGCACGACGTTTCCTCGGGATCACATCAGTACGCAGGACCATTCGTGACCCAACGAAGCTGGATGCTACGGGAGTTGGGGCCGTTCAGCGACCGGACGAGACGGCAAAGTGCAGTCCTCTGTGACTCATGAGGATTGCACTTGCAAGGAACTATCACCGTCGACTCAGGCTCTCGTTCAACCTTGCTACGTTGCATCAATCAACATGTTACACGAAAAGTCCGGGAACGTACGATCGACCCATCAGCGCCTCCTTTATACGTCGACGATACCCATTGGTTTCTATAAACGCATTTCAGCGAAGGGTCACGAGGTGTTCTAAGGCGTTTTCTGGCGTTCATACGGCCCAGTCATTTATCTCTTTCTTTCTTTCATTTCCTGTAAGGTTTTCTTGGATATGCAGATCAGCCTGGCATTGGCGATCTGATGAATGGGCTGGTACTTTGCTCCTAATGCTCGGAAAGGTCATCATGTGTCCGTCCCTGTCTCTATATCATTCCATTTTCTATCATCTAAACATGGTATCAGTGACTGAACTTGGTACGATGATCATGATAAAATCAGCATCGCCTAGATAATGCATCTCAGCACGCATCAAGCCATCAAAAAGAAAAGCATACATCATCCGTCCGGCGCCAAGGATCGAACTTGGGTCTTGCTTTGGCCCAAACACCAAAGCCAAAGCACATTTTGGCCAACTAAACCACACTGGATTGAAAGATTTCTTCAACAATCTATCTTAAAGGCACTGACAGGGTCAGAGCCTGTCCTACACTTTAGCTCCCATTGCCTTTGTCTAACAGCTACCCCACCAGCACCACCCACGCTTTTCCCGGTCGAACCTCTCCCTACAACTTCGCCTCCCCCGTAATAACATCCCGAACAAGCTTCAGCCCCTCCACCGCAAACCTCACCATATTCGCCTCCCGATCCCCACCCAGCCCCGTCTCCACCTCGCGCGTCACCGTGCCCGCGGCCGACGTCACGGCTAGCGCGACATAGCCCCTAACCCAGTTACCCGTTAGCAGTGCTCTCGCAATACCCTCAACCTGTCCTCGCAACCATGCCTTGGAAAAGAAAAGGGGAAGGAGGAGGAGAGGTAAACATACGGCGTCCTGTTCCGCGTGGTACCGCCCGTCGGTCCCGCGGTCCCGCTCTCTGAGACTGTGTAGGTTGAGCCGAGAGTCTTGTTGACGTGCTCGGCGAGCCCGGCGACGACGGCGGGGGTGGGACCGGCGTAGGTTTTGAGGATGTCGGGCGTCCAGCCGGCGTAGGCGATGCGGGATTCGAGGGTGTAGAGCTAGGAGGGGGGTATTTTAGTACGGGTAAGGTGGTGGTAGGAAGGGGGAGTAATGGGAGTAATGGGAGTAATGGGAGTAATGGGAGTAATAGGAGTAATGGGAGTAATGGGAGTAATGGGAGTAATGGGAGTAATGTAGGATATATAGGAAATGTAGGAAATGTAGGAAATGTAGGAAATGTAGGAAATGTAGGAAATGTAGGAAATGTAGGAAATGTAGGAAATGAATAATGGGCATCAACTTACAGTCAGCCCTCCCTGTCATCGACACCACATCAGCACTCCCTCTAATCCATTAGATATAGGTCATAACACACCTTGTAAAATCCGCTCGCACCCGGCCTGGACAGCAAAGCCGCAGAGATCAATCCACCAGCCGCCTATCAAAGATATACGTCAGCAATGCTTCACAAGACCATTGCATTATTTGGTGAAAAGGTTGTTCATCGTACAGTCTCCGCAACCGTGATCGTCTCCTTCCGCTCCTTCAGCAAACTCGCTACCTCCGCCGCTATCTCACGAATAGACTCAGGTGGGAATTCCGAAGATGCCATAGTGCAAAGTGACTCAACAAGTGTTGATAGTGATGAATGTTAATCACGCTGAGCTGGCCGTATATATCCTATAGCGGAGGTAAATGTAGTAGTTTATTGCTTCTGCAGAATCATGTATCTAAGGCTCTACCTTCATTTGAAATCAGCTTGAAACGTTACAAATCCCCACCGCGGGGTCCCTGACGTACATGTCCGACGAGGTGGGGTGGAGGGGTTCGGGAGATCGGCATTCGAAAGGTCGCCCTGCAGGAGGGCACGTGGAGGGGCGTTCCGAATAGAGATGCCGAGGTGAAACTTTGCATTTCAACTCTGGTTCCACTGCTCTTTAATGTGATTTCCATGATGTTTTCATTGCAAGGCATGGGTAAGGAGCAAGCATCCTGAGGCACGTACTTCATTTTATTTCAGATCTTCTCCAGATATCTCGCGCTTAAAGGGAGGCAGATGCACCTCGATCCATCACTCCCTCCACACCAATGATCTTCCCGATGGTAAATCCTCTTCAGGTCATTTCATGGTGGCATGCTGTGCCATGCTGTGCCGAAGTTGCTGCCGCATGTGGTCTTACGCATGTAGTCTTACGCTCGACGAGACCAGCTTGTAGGTTGGGGTGTATGACTACCAGTCCCGCTGACGGAGAGGACCTAGTAGTACAACTTTGATGGTTGATTTTCAGCTCAGGATGTGTCCAATGCATCGATTCACACATAAGGAGACCGAAACGCATAATACTGCAGAATGTCAAAACTGAACATCCTTTTACGAAAACATGTCTAAAAGGAACAGTAGTACCCAGGCATATTCGGCTCGAAACGGGTCCAGTATTTGCTCGATCCAGTAGCCCCAGTCATCCCTCCATGCTCCACACCCAAACAGCGCTCTTGAATACTCCCAGTAGCTTGGATACCATCCAGAGAACTCCCAGTCGATGATCACAAGCTCTAGGTCCGTTGTGTCCCACTGGACTTTGCCGTTTTCTGTTGTCGTCGGGGGATTACGGAACATTATATTTTTTCGCTGAAAATCTCCATGCGTGAAAACCGGGGCGTGACTATGAAAGATATCCTTGAAGGCGCGCGAGAAGTGCTCCGCCTTGTGTTTAGTAAGGCCTTCCTTGACATATCTGGCGAGCATAGTCTCATTTAGGTCCGACTCGGTATCGAACGGCCCATTGAATAGCTGCGAGCCATCCTCCAAATTGAAAAGCCCATCCGGCAATCCACGATGACCAAAGCTGCAGTATCCTCCCGGTGATTGTAACTTCCGCATCTCTTCGAAATGAAGGCGGAGATTCGAAGACACTCCCTCTTTTGCCGCTGGATCCATCTTTGACCAAATGGAACCTAGAGTCGGACCTCTAATGCGCTCCATGACGATGTAGCTGTAGGTGTACTTGTCGGGTCCGAGCCTCTGGTATAGCGCATAGACCCGAGGTACTGGAATAGTCGTTGACTGTTTTAGAAAGAGCATTGTCTCTCCCTCTTGTAGATTGACAAAGGCACCATATTTGACAACGAAGTGATCGCCAACTCCGACGACTTTGCCCGACACCACTGACATGCGCTCATTGAGGATTTCCGTTGCAGATTTGATCTCTTCTATCGTGGGCAGTATAGCAGGAAGGCTTCCTTCATCAGCAAAGTACGGTAGGCTGAAGGAGGCCATCATAGAAACTGTCGAAGAAATCTAGAGTGAAATTGGGGCGACTAATGGTAGTGTGACGGAGAAGAGAAAGATGGTACCTAAGGAGTGAGATGCGTCGTGCGCCACAGCTTGGACCGCTTCTGCCTGCATCCTCACATTCACGCCACCCCCGTCTTCACTGTCTCTTTCTCTTCAATCATGCCGGCAATTCCAAACCGACCCTCTGTATCTTCCAGCTATCAAACTTCGGACTACGCACTAGTCTTTAGTGAGCGACCATTGCCCAAAGACAGCTAGCGCGAGACTATCACATTTCAGACTTCTATAGGAGCTTTCAAATACAGAGACCCCCACTCAAAGTTTTCTACTTCTCGTCCAACTTTTCTTGTGTTGACCGGCCGCTATTGATTTTCTCTCATATCAGGTTGAAAGTTTCAATAGGATACTGGCCCAAAGCCTCTCCATACATCAATCCATGAACGTAACAATCTCCCACCAACTTCCAAGTGTTGCCCTCCGCTTTCCTCACCACAAAAGGCGTCTCAGCTCCCAGGAAGAGAACCAGGAAGTCGTCCTTTTGTGTGCCCGGCGGCACCACTGCCATCTTTCCCCCACCCGTGACCGCAAACCGTCTCCCAGCCGCGCATACCAGACCACGACACCACTCCGCCATCGACGCCACGTCTTCCAAGATCAAAGCCGGCACGTCGGATTCTGAAAGCTGTGTGCCGTTGGCCAGTATACGCGACTGGAACTCAAAGGTCCTCTTTGAAGCCTTGTATCGTTCACTGCAAGCCATGGGAGCCGGGTGAATGAAGTCACCTGTTCCGTCCCGCTCTCGTACTAAATCCCCAATCAGGGTGCGCCATAAAGCTTCGTCGCGCGGCTGAGTACTAGTGCTTAATTGGTAATTCTCGGGGTGACGGAGCGCTAGAAGCTGGGCATACTCGGGGCCTATTGGGTAATTCGCAGGGCAGCGGAGCGCTAGGAGCTCGACCTCACTCATGAATCGTAGTGTCAGGGCGGCTAGGGAGTCTTTGGGGTCGTCCAAGGTATTTCCGTCTCCCATCCACGGGTAGATGTTGGCTGAGACCGCGTCTATTTTTTCGACCACCAGTGCTTGTACTGACAATGTGGTAGATGAGGCGTTGATAGAGATTGTCGGTATAGTTGAGCCAGACGCCGCATAGACGGCTCTTTCATAGCACGCTTGCAGCGGCGATACATCTGGCAGACAGCTGTAATCTGGCACCCAGGACGGTAGGCCGTCAATCTCTCGCTTGTGTCCGATTCCAGCGTATTGCAGCGACTCCAATCTCTCATCTTGCTGCAGCAGCAGTTTCGTTGTACGCCTGTATACTTCTTCTGGGGTCTCACCGAACGACTTAAAGAGTCTGCCTTTATGCTTCTCTGCACTGAGGGCAACAAGACTAAACACATAGTCCTCTTTTCGCGTGGCCTTGAACATGATAGCCTCACGTAAAATGGTGGTCAGACTCGCCTCCAGTCCCCGTTGGGCCCTTATCCTGAACCCCGCAAGTGTATTCACCTGGGCGAACCCCTTTCCCCTCCCTTCATCCATCATAACCATCGACTCCCGCATATTCCCGCGCGATTCATCTCCGAGGTAATAGCAAACGGAAGCGAGTAAATCCCAATGTAGCCACACATTGCCATACCTGACGTCTACCTGGGGGGCAACGGAAATCTCCTGAATGATCCAAACACGAAAGAAACAGGGTCGTCCGATCATATCCCTTAATATCTGAATATGCTTATCATCCTGTTTACCGTCGACGGTCGCTATTTCAAGCAGTTCCTCCCTCTGCTTCCTTATGTCTTTGATTCTAACATAATTGGCTTTATTCATCGCCTTCAACGCTCTCCCTGCCTCCTGTGCCTCGAAGGATTCGCCAACCCATAATATTGTCCGCCGCGCACCGCTGTAAATCTCGCGCATGAGCGGGATCTGCGCGCCTTTTTCCGTGGAGCTGGGTGACTGGTCGATGCAGATGTAGTCGAGCCAGACAAAACGGGGTTCCAGGATGGAAGCGCGGTCGGTGAGGACCTTAAACGCATTTTCGGGGAACTTCATGCAGTAGCGATTTTTGTCAACATGGAGGACGAGGAATCTGGTAGGCTTCTCGCTGCCCCAGCAGTATGAGAGCGCGTCATATACCGGAGTATCCGGCGAATCGAGATCGTGCATTTCGAG